TTCGGTTTTGGTAGGTTGATTGTTGAAATGAAAATTTTATAATTTTAAACCTACTCTATTACATTTTTTTGGATCAATGATGGGTGTTTGGAGGAGATACTATTGTTTCTAATGCGTCACCATGTGATATCACAAATAATTATGAGAAAAATAACTTATTCATTCCGATATAATTACAACCATAGTCAGCACGCACTAAAGTAAACAAACTGGAGATTAATAGCAAATTAACGAAAAATAAATTTAACAAACGTTGTGCTTATTAAATTTACGCACTTTAGTTATATACTAGCATTAATAATAAAATTTGCAATAAATAACTCAAAAAGGTCATATTTTCTTTTGTTTATTTACAAACATGTGTTTGTGATCAGCTGATTTTCTTACTTGAGTTTTCGCTGGGAAAAATTTTTCCAGCAGAAATTTGCAGCTCTCTTTCACATTTTGCTCTCTCAATTTCCCCTACTTTGCAAGTTTTTGGGGTACGAGAACGCAAAACCAGTAAAAGTTTTCTAAAACTTTAGATAGTTAGGCGTACGAGTACACACCTTATAACAGACAACAGCATGAGCATACTCACTTCCATCTAAATAGTATGAACTCAATGCTGTGAACTCTATACGGGTAGTGAGAAACACGATACGAACAGTGATATTCATAGTTAGTTTTGAAATAAATGTTTAGCTGCAGTGTACTCATTTGATTTCAAATATCGCATTGATATACTCTTTCCAAATCAAGTCAAGCGAATGAAAAACACTGTTATGAAAAGCAAGTCGAGCAATCGAATAACACTCATTGACTTCAAACAATTATACAGTAAACCAGCCATTGACAATATGCTTATTTGAAAATTAATACATGAACGATTGTGCATGTGTAGGATTTTTTTTGTCATTAACCCATAGGCAACGGCTGGTGCAGAAGTACCGACAAATGTTTGTTGATATATTCGAAAAGCAAATTTAAACAGAAAAATGCATAAAGAACATAATAATAAAACAAAAGTATTGTTAATTACTACATGGGAGGTGGGCGTAGTTATTGACAGATTTCGCCAAAATTCAATACTAACCTAAACTATACCAAAGGCAGCTTCGGCACCGACTTTTGTTAAAATATCTCAATTTTGTTCGAGTTAGCGTATTTACAAACAGACACGGCTGAACCAATTCTTCTCGTTATCGATGATCGTTGTGACCATTTTCCAAAGACAGCCCTTATTCATTCAATTATTCACTCAAAGTTGTGTCCGGAACGCGGTATGACTTATGTAGGAACTTCATTCGGTCACAATCGCTAACGCTTCACTCCTGATTTTCTTGGAATTTTATTTTTCCCGTTATTTTATTTTATGTGACTTTAAAACATTTTTCACTATAAGAAAATATTAAATTTGATTTCATTTGGGTTAACGCAAACGACAACTGTAAAAAATATCAACCAATACATTCAAACAAATTGTCAAATAAGCATATTTACATTTTTAGTTTTGCCTATCTGGATTACTGTATACTGTGGAAAATACAATTTTGAAAAAAATTGATATTGATGAAGTATTTTTTTAAATATATTAGGTTTATTAAATTATTTAATTATCCACCTGATGTACATTTATATAACTAGTCTACAAAAGAAATGCAATGTTACCTCAGAAGACATCGGCTTTATAAGGGACTTGAAAAATAAGTTGCTTTATTATTTAAAAACAGTTGCTGTTGAAAACTAACAGATTTGCACAAAATTGTGCTTTTTTTATACCCGCCAGCAAAATAGCTGAAGAACTTTACCGAACCTGAGCAAAGGTACACAAAAGAGAAATGTTTACAAATTATGAGAATGTTAACTGAGAATTCTGACAGTACAACGGAACCACAAATTGCGGATACACTTTTGTTACCTTCAGACAAGTTTGAGCTGTTTTCAGGTCTTCTTAAACAACCTACCTTTGCGAGCAGAACTGATAAAGCTACTGCAGAGCTTCGGCGATATGAAAATATTGAGGTATATTTTCATACGGACTTCGATATAATTAACTGGTGGGAGGTACACAAATGCGAAATGTCGCTGCTGCATAAACTCAGTCGTAGAGTAATAGCCACTCCTTCAACTAGCGCATCGTCAGAAAGTTTTTTCTTCAGCTGGAAATGTTATTCCTTTTGTCAAATGTTGATACGTTTAATCAGTTGATATTTTTGCATTATAATATGCCGTTAGAAAACCAATAAAATTAACAAAAATTGTCTTTACAAATTGTTTTTCTTTGATACTTTCATTACAGCAGTTATGGCATGTACTTGTTTTTCCAATCAAGCACTTGTTATTTGAATCGAGCACTTGATAGTGTGAATTACTAACTCAATTGACAATTTTTTTGCAATGCTATCGCACGTTATGTTTGGAAATAAATGAGTGCGAGTGTGTGCAGATGTGAAAAGAAAGCGAGTGACTTAAAATGTAATTTGAGTGTATCCTTGCAGCTCTCTGGACTATAACGCTTGACAGAAGAATTTACTTTTAAATTTCAAAGTCAGAATTAACATCAGTGATGACAGGTAAGTCCCAGATGGGTTCTAATATCACAAAGTTGCTTTTGGGAAAATTGCAGATAGAGGGTATTGAATATAAGCCCTCGGTATACATACATACATAGTTTTCAAGTTGACAAAAAATATTAATTTATTAAATATTTAGATTTCGAATTGCAAAATAGTTTATTAAAAATAAAACTGGTATAAAGATTCTATTTGATATTTAGGACTGTTTGTTGCAATTTTATTTGGCCTTCATATAGAAGACCGATGTACAGACATCATTTCACATTTTAATTTTGTGCTTGCAATAAGTTAATTAAAAAATATTCTCTAATTGCTATGCTAAATGGAAGTTTGCCAAAACACATTTATTCAAAAACTTTGGCTTGTACCGATTAAAAGAAATGCGAATAAATGTAACGTTGGCTTAAAAAATCAAATAAATATTTGAAGATACGATCCAAAGAAGTTTCGCTTATGTATTTCGAGCAGAAAAAGTTCATTTGGCTTTCTTAGATTCTTTCTTTTTATTTGTTCCACTAACAGGACCAGATCCTTCTTTATTATCTTTTTTCTCTGGTTTTTCTTCAGGATGATCTTCGTAACTAAAAAATTTAAAATTAATTAAAAATTTTCTGCAGCAAAGCAAAGGTGAACTTACGCAAAAAGTGTCTTCAATTCTCCTCTCACTAAAGCGACCAATAGTGGAGTTCCCATGCAAGCGGGAACTAGGTAAAGCAGTGCCGGCTGCGCATGTTTGAAAACATGCATTACGAATATTGTTGCCAAAAGTCCCAGAAAATATGCTACAAGTGTGGAATAGAAGTAAATACGGCTCTTTCGTTTAGAGCTATGGTCGAATCGCAGAAGTAATGCTATAAAGATTCCAGGTATTACTATATCACCCAGGCCCAACATTGCAAAATTGGTTCCACTTAAGCCGTTTGTTGGTAAATCTTGTGGGAAAACCAGTTTTATAGGTGCTTCGAAACTTTTGGCAACTGTGACCATGACGTTTGTTCCGAATACCCAGAAAATGTCGTAGAAGAACAACCCACTTAGCAAAATACATCCAGTCACAATATTATTTAGATGGAGAAGTTCTACTCCGTTTACAGCAAATGCCAATCCAAACATGTTATTAGCTATCCAATGCTTTTTGTATAAATACCACACGCCAATTCCCGACGAAATTGCCAAACAAATGATGTCATACGTTGAAAATTTGTAGTTTATGATATCTTCCTTGTGCTTGCCCTCTCCTTTTGTGAAATGCATATGGAAAGGTATTTTCGGGACTGCCGTAGGCATTAATGAATTTACAATGGGACTAAGAAGATGTGCCAGGGCAATCACACCCAAACAGAAGAAATATCCCGTAAGAAGGAGATTTATATGATCTTTAGAAAAAATTTTGAAGAACATGTATAGACCGAAGAGCGCAGCTGAGGCGATGACAGGGAAAAACATTGCGTCCTTTTTAGTCATGGTTTCAGCTTTTTCGCCACTAACCTGGAAGTTGAAAAAGTAAGAATTAGGTTTGTTGTCTGTTTTTATAAGAAATAACAGCTAGTGTGGAGAGACTCTAATAAAATACACTACAAGGAATTCGGCTGTAATTTAGTTTGATATCCCTTGGGTACCGATTTAAGGTAGTTATGGGAGGATAGGCGAGTTCTCTTGACTCCAAATATGTAGTTTTTAGCTGTAGAAATAGGTAGAGCAACTTTTATACGCTTCAGCCTGGTATGGAATGGTACATTATACGAAACTTCCATTGCTGTTATAATTTTTAGGCATACAAAACGAAAGTAAATGCAATTTATACTTGCCTTCTTAAGTTTGTGCAATTTGACAGAACGCATAGATCCAAACACTATAGGGAGCATAGCCATTACTACCAAACTACCGTAGGCTACCACAATACCCTCTGGTGTTGCAGGAACCTTTTCATTTGTTATAGTTTCACTGGTTGCATTCTCCACCGCTTCTTTTACGGCTTCGGCCACAGTCTCTGCCATTTAAAAGAGCAAAGTAAACTATCTCACGTAGTCTATATATGTTCTGCTTAGTATTTATATTTCTATTGAAAATATTTTAACGAAAATGACCACGCATGCACTTGGAACTATATAGAAAAGAAAGTGTTCCCTTAGTTGAACTATTTTTTTTTCTTAACCAAATGTGTCAAAACGGTTGGCAGTACTGTGAAAACGTGTCATTAAAATTTTAAGGTGCCACATGGTGGAATAAAAGATGATAGTGGCTTAAAGCGCAGTTAGTCAATGACGTAGCGTAAACGTAGGTTGACGTACGTAGCAGCATATCAAATTTACTGTTGATAGAGAGAGAGAGAAGCAACGGAAACGTTACCGCCATGCGGTGGGGAGTTTTCGTTAACACGCGAATCACATAAAGTAGATCGTGTCTGCGTCAACCTACGTCTACGTTACGTCGTTAACTGCACAGTATATACAGTAATAAACCTTTTTGAGTACTCCTCGAGGGTAAAATCTGATCAGGGTTGATAATGAGAAGGATCATGAATTTTGTTGATTCAGAGTGTAAAAACAGTGCAAATTTTTGTCTATTATTATAGACAGATTATCATAGTTCAGTGTACAATTTGTTATATTACTCTGCACATGATAATGCTTGTTATTCTCACATCTCAAGGAAAAGTTATTTTTCTTGTCTGTGCCACCGTGATCACGTTTTTCTGCTATAACCCTGCAAAAATCGCGACTACTCCATTCATGCATGTAGAGAGTACTCCCTAAGGGCCATGGAGTACTCCAAAATTAACCACAATTCATATAAAAAATATGGTCCAATTAACATTGCGATGTCCTAGGACAGGACCATATACTCCATCCCTGCATTACATCAGAGTAGCACAAAACTACTCCAACATATTAACAGTGACATTGTTGTTATATTTTTTCGTTTGTACACGCTTTTGTTCTTCACTTCTCAAATGCTTTTTCGAAATTAATAAAAACCAAGACAAAAATTAAAAATTACATGTTGCCTCTGACGGCATTCGAACCCGAATATGCTGGGAGCTAAGAAATAACAGCGAGCATCTCTACACGTTCAGCTACAGCCAGACATGCAAATGTGCTTTCAAATGCTCCACTTCAATCACATTTCGTTAAAACACGAGCAGTGATCGGGTAACAAACAATAAGCTGGCGCAGAGACACGTGTTGCTCCGCTACAGCATGACAGAGGAACACTTTTGTAAGTACTCCAATATACCACAAATAGACTACATGGTCCAATGATTTTTGCAGGGAATAAGCAATATAAATATATTTTAACTTAACATTTTATTAAAAATACCTTCACAAACCTCTTTTACTTGCTGGCGTACATTTTTGTTTATTTTTACATTTGGCATTTCTCCTCTTTTTCGCAAAATAAATAAAACTAGGATGAACACCGAAAAGTTATTGGTTAAATTGGTTAAACAAGGACGAATTTTATATGGCTAATCTCTTGTTATAATTACATATTAGGGTGTTAAGCTTGAAAATGAGGATAATCTACTTATATGTGAACCTAGTATAAACAAACTTTTTGTTTAGAAACAAGTGCAAACGTATTGCAAACGTATTGTAACGATTATCCTTGAAATCTCGTTCAGATTTCCCAAATGTCTCGGTTCGTAGCGCTGGATTGTTAAATAAATGCTAACGATGACCAAATTGTAGTACAATTAACTTTATTGTACAACAAACAATTTACAATACTTGCTAATACAGTAAAAACACTTTACAATACTTGTTAAAACAATAACAACGCTTAACTTAACTTGTTAACACAATTAAACTTATAGCTTGCTTATTCGCAACTCACTTCTCTGCTCACTTTACTTGTAGCTTGCTGACTTGTATCTAACTAACTTCGCTGTGGCGGCGCAATTATATACCTGCGCTAGTACTTATGGCAACTCTAGAACGTTCTGAAGTTTATCGCTCATTCTCTTTCTCTCGCTGTTCGCAGTGTTCATCCAACTTGACGTTTCTCTTTGTGGAACATTCTACGTCATTCCTCGAACATTCTGCCTATTTCTCGTTGCCCTCCACCTAAGTCTGATCGTCCCGATCAGACACACTTGCTGCTCCAAACGTTGCCAGTCTTTCATCTTGGTTCTCGGTCTACCAGCCGTCTGGATTCGATGCACTGCGTCCTTCAGCCGTTTGTCAATCCTATACGGATCTTTCCAGTTACGATGTTGTTCGGAGGTGAAGCCTTTCTTCGGTTGCGGCATGTGCAACAACACCAAATCGCCTTCCTGTAGCTCCTCTCGGCTCGATGTGTTACTGGACATTGCTTCCAGCTTATCTCCGGTGGTGCACCATCTCACATGGTCGTGCTTCTGCCGGCCACTGGTGGTGACCAGACCATGTCTCCTCTTGTAGGCACCCTTTTTGCCAGATCTATGCCGCATCCTCTGTCCATGACACCGAGGCTCCTGCCTTCGTGCTGTACTGCCTTCAGCACATCTTAGTAAATCCGGTTCCTCACGCTGAAACTTGCCCAGTGTTTCCGCATCTCGCTCCTTCTCCGGCGTCAACCTCATTGACCGGACATGTATAACCTCACCCTTGGCTTCCGGCTTAACTGCTCGCCTTTGCCGACCACCTTTTTCGGGACACTTCACAGCGCGCCTACTGCTCCCACAGCCGCTTCCATTTCCGGCCACCAGCGTATTACCATTGCATAGCGGATTTTCTCCTGCCGGAAACACTGCCTGGCTTGCCATGACCACTTCCTTGTTGCGACCTCTTCTTCACTGAGCTGGCGGAACCGTCACGCTTTTCCTGTATCGGTGAACCACTTCCTTCTCCTGACGAAACCATTTCGTCTCCATCACTGTCAACCTCTGCCCAACTAACCACTTCCGTTTCTGGTGGAATCTTCGACACTTCCTCTAAGGCTAACCGTCTGCTGCAGCACTGGCTGTCGTAACCAACCCTAAGTGGCACTTTCCTGTGACGATCTATCAAGATCATTCTCTGGAGGTCAATCTTCATGCCACTATCAAGTAAGAAATCCACGCCGATGATGACTTCATCCACAATGTCTGCCACTATAAACTTAGTGTACGAGGCCACACCGTCGATTATTACCTCGCATGGTACTTCTCCTAACACTTGGGTGCATTCACCAGTTGCAGTCTGCAGCATTGCTCCAGTGGCTTCACATAAAAAGTGGCCAAATCCGGTCGAATAATGGAATGTGTCGCTCCAGTATCCACTGTCACTACTCTCTCCTGCCCATTCACACATCCACCAACAGTGAGATNTGGAATGTGATGCGCCCGTATCCACAGTTAGTACTCGCTCATGTCCGTCCACATATCCGCCAACAGTAACGTTGCTCGCTTTTATGCCAATTCGCGAGACGGAGATTATGGGACATTCAATTGCGGGAGCCAGCGCGCGCCCCTTGCTGCTGGCTCGTTTTAGTTTAACGACTGATTGGAGTTGGATTCGTCTCCTTCAGCCCTGCGTTTGTGTCCTGCTGAATTGTTGAGCGCACTGGAACTTGCGCTGCAATTGCGGGCGAAGTGGCCTGGCTTTCCACATTTAAAATATTTGACAGAGCCATGCTTTTTCTCGCCCAGCAGTTGGATAATCTTCTTCAGCATTTCATTTGTCTCGTCCGGTGTTTCCACTTCAACGCGATGTGCTTTGTAGGCTGGTCTACTTAGGATCGCCGCCGTTTCACGCGTCTGAGCATACGAGACAGTTTCAGCAAATGTTGGCTTTGGATTCGCGTACGTCTCTCGCTTGGTATACACGTCCCGCATTCCGTTGATGAACCTCTGGATTTTAACTCTTTCGAGGTGCTCACCAGATGCATCTCCAATTGCCAAATGAGCCAACCTTTCAACCTCGGAGGCGAATTCCTGTAGAGTCTCGTTGGATTTCTGGCAGCGATTCTCCAGCTCCATCTGGTAAATCTGTCTCCTGTGCTCGCTACCATAACGTCTTTCCACTGCACCCATTAATGCATCGTAATTGTTCCTTTCACAGTCAGGAATTGTCTGCAAGATTTCCGCTGCAGGTCCTTTTAATGCCACGAACAGAGCAGCGGATTTATCCTCCATGCTCCAACGATTTGCTGTAGCTGTCTTCTCGAACTGGAGCTTAAAGACTTGGAAAGGAATCGTGCCGTCAAAGGATGGAGTCTTTACCTTGGGAGCACTTGTCGAAGTAGCTGGACGATTCATCTGCAAATCTCGGAGGCGACCTTCCAACTCTTCTACCTTTGCTTCGACTTTCTCCTGTCTCTCTTCAAGTTTGTTCTGTATTTGTGTAATTTTTTCATCCTGTGCTTCCAGCTGTGATGATATGCGTGCCTCCTGTGCCAGTAGCTGAGTTTCTAACCGGGATGACACCTGCGCTGATACCTCTGAAGATATACGTGTCTCCAGCGCCTGTATCTGTGACGACAGCTGTGATGACATCTGTGACATGCGTGTATCCTGTGCTTGCATCATCTGTGACGACAGCTGTGATGACATTTGTGACATGGCAGCCAATAACGTGTTCATGTCCATAGCTGTTGATGAACTTGGAGACTTTTGCTGTTCTTCAACCTTCCGGATGTCTGCTGCATATCCTTCGACGAACAAGCGGCCTCATCCTTCTGTTCATTCTTTGCGGATGCATCGTCAAGTTTACCCTGGAAGTCGTATTCGTTCACGTCGATGCCTTCTACTTCCATAGCCTCTCGCAGCCGTGATAGTAACTCCACTTTTCTTCCGGAGGTTGCCAACTTGACGTGTCTCTTTGTGGAACATTCTACGTCATTCCTCGAACATTCTGCCTATTTCTCGTTGTTCGCTTCGCGTTGCCGCAGTATTCGTCACAGTATTGTGTACTTTCAAGTGAAAAATCGAAGTAATTCGTGCGTTCTATAGTAAAAAACGTTTTATTTGTAATAAAAACTTTATAAAAATGTCGTGCCGTGTGTTGAATTGCAGCAGCCGTAGGGGTTAAGCCCCCAAATGCATTTTTTTGTTTCCCCGCGACGACGCCTTGGCCAGAAAGTGGGTAGAGTTCTGCCGGCAGGAGAAGCCATACAATTAAGACACCAGCAAGAGTAGTTGTATATTTGGCATAAATGCAGGTGGGCTCCAAATCTCAAATAAAAAAAAAAAATTTTTGGAATCGATAGAGATGATTGA